GCAGCAGAAAACAAACTAACCCCCCCACCACCATCCAATTCTCTGGGATGATCGCTTTATCCCTCCCCCCACTGTGTGGCTGGTATCAGGGAAGATCCCTGCTAGCCACACGTGAAAAGCTTAGCGCCAATCCTCCCCTTCCCCCCCCCTCCACCCCCCCCGGCGCTTGGCTTACTACAGGGAAGGATTTCTTTTCAGCCACAGGCAAACAGACCGGTAGGAAGGGCCACCTCTGTCCCCTTAATTAAATTCCCGTATTTCAACCAGGTTACCATGAGCGATATCACTCTCCTGAGGATTACACAGTGAGATAAAGAACGGATGTTGCTTGAATGCCAGCAAACACCGGGACCATACGCTGCCAGGCTTTGTCATGCAATGATACCAGATTATTTGCTACTAGCATGGCGTGGTCAAGTGTCCTACCATGGAGGACGGAATAAGGCTGCACTGCCCAGAAACCTTCTGCAAAGGCTTTTGGAGTACCTCCAGGAGAGCTTCATGGAGATGTCCCTGGAGGATTTCCGCTCCATCCCCAGACACGTTAACAGACTTTTCCAGTAGCTGTACTGGCCGCGAATGCATCCCAAGTCCTCAGGGCAAATTAATCATTAAAAAACACTTGCTTTTAAACCATGTTTTATATTTTAAAAGGTAAACTCACCTGAGGTCCCTTCCATGGGGTCATGGTCTTGGGTACTGGCTTGGGAGTGTACTTCAGTCAGGCTGAGAAAAAGATCCTGGCTGTTGGGGAGAACGGAGTGCTGTGTGCTCTCCGCAAGCTCCTCCTCTTCCTCCTCCTCTTCCCCGTCCGCAGAATCCTCAGGTGTGGCTGATGAGATTACCCCCGCCTTGGAATCCATGATCAGAGGTGGAGTAGTGGTGGCGTCCCCCCCAGAATTGCATGCAGCTCAGCATCGAAGCAGCATGTCCGCGGCTCTGACCCAGAGCGACCGTTTGCCTCCTTTGTTTTCTGATAGGCTTGTCTGAGCTCCTTGACTTTCACGTGGCACTGCTCTGAGTCCCTATTGTGGCCTCTCTCCATCATGCCCTTGGAGATTTTTTCAAAAGTTTTGGCATTTCGTCTTTTTGAACAAAGTTCTGCTAGCACTGAATCCTCTCCCCATATAGCGATCAGATCCAGTACCTCCCGTAAGGTCCGTGCTGGTGCTCTTTTTCGATTATTGGCCTGCATGGATGGTTACCTGTGCTGATGAGCTCTCTGTGGTCACCTGTGCTCTCCTGTGCTGGACAAACAGGAAATGAAATTCAAATGTTCACCGGGCTTTTCCTGTCTACCTGGCCAGTGCATCCGAGTTCAGATTGCTGTCCAGAGCGGTCACAATGGTGCACTGTGGGATAGCTCCCGGAGGCCATTACCATCGAATTGCGGCCACACTAACCCTAATTCGAAATGACAATATCGATTTCGGCGCTACTCCGCTCGTCGGGGAGGAGTACAGAAATCGATTTTAAGAGCCCTTTATTTCAAAATAAATGGCTTCGTTGTGTGGACGGGTGCAGGGTTAATTCGATTTAACGCTGCTAAATTCGAATTAAACTCATAGTGTAGACCAGGCCTTAGCCCTGGTCTATCCTACAGAGTTAGGTCGACATAGGCTTCTTACATTGACCTAACTCCGTAAGCATCTACACTAAAATGTAGCTCCCACCAATGTAACTCACTCATTACTCCGCCTTACATAACTCCACCTCCGTGAGAGGCATAGCGCTTAAGTTGATGTAGTTAGGTCGATGCAGTGTCAGTGTAGACACTGCATTGCTTACATCTAGGGTGACCTGATGTCCTGACTTTATAGGGACAGTCCCAGTATTTGGGGCTTTGTCTTATATAGGCACCTATTACCCATCAGCCCCGTCCCAATTTTTCACACTTGCTATCTGGTCACCCTACTTACATCAACTGTTGCTGCCTTTTAGAAACCGTCCCACAATGCCCCACATGGGCAGTTAAATCAGTGCAAGTGCACCTGGTGAGGATGTGCACCACCAACACAAGGAACATAATGTGGACATGTAAAACTGATTCAATTACTACCATGACTGTATGTCAACGTAACTTAGGTAGACTTAATTTTGAAGTATAGACTTGCCCATAGCTAGAGCCCTACCAACTTCACAGTCCATTTTGGTAAATTTCACAGTCGTAGGATTTTAAAAATCTTAAATTTCACAGTTTCAGATATTTAAATTTGAAATTTCACTGTTTGTAACCGTGGGAGTCCTGACCCATAAGGGGGAAATGGGGTAGTTGCAAAGCTATTGTGTGTGGGGGGGTAGGTTCCCGGAGGTGGGTCTGACCCGGCCCCGGGAGTGGCCCACGCAGGGGAAGAGGAAGTCTTGTCCCTCCCCAGCCCAGATGAGACTAGCAGCTGGAGCCAGGGACTAGCAGCAGCTGCCGCTCTCTGGCTGTCCAGCTCTGAAAGTAGTGCAGAAGTAAGGGTGGCAATACTGCAACCCCCCTACAATAGCCAGATTTCATGGGGGAGACCAGATTTCACCAGACAGACCAAATTTCACAGTCCCGTGACACATTTTTCATGGTTGTGAATTTGGTAGGGCCCTACCCATAGCCTAAACAGCCCTGCTTTCTCAAGATCCTCCAATTCAGCTAAAACTAAAAGTGTCCATTGTTCACAGTATTGTTGACCTTTGAATGAAAAGGGCTGATGGAGGGGGTGGAATTAGTGAACTAGTGTAAATGATCTGTTAATGAGACTACGGTGTGATTTGCACAATGACCCATACTGCAAGTAAAGAAAGCTCCAGATTTCATTTTAAACCTTTATTACATTAGGAAATGGGTTCCTCTCTTCCAAAGCAAGGACATGTTGCTACAGCATCAGAAGTTCATGGCTGTTAGGAAAATACATCTTTTTGTGACATATGCTTGAATTGTATGGGACTGATCATGCAGGCACTCCATGCACATAGAACTCTCAATGAATTTAGGAGAAGGATCAGGCCCCAGGTATTTACTTCTTGTCTAGTTCAGTTTGCCATCACAAAACTGTGGGCATGATCCTGACCCCACTGGAGTGAATGGCAAAATCTCTATTGACATCAACTGATAACAATTTAGAATTATCCTAGTATATGATTAAATTGCTCATTCTAGGCATTCCCACCTCTTTTTCCTTGATGGATTGATATTGGCTATCTTCTATTAGCTGCTGTAGAACATTTATCTTGGATTATTTGTTATTCTTGTAAATGAAGGGCAGAGGAATTTAGCTAGATGGTGTTATCATCTGGGCCCTTATGCTGGTATTCCTGGCAAGTACGAACACATCCTTCATCTAAAGCTGGGGGGAACTGTGCTAGCCACAGCACAGATCCAATTGTGCATTTTGTTTGGAAGGGGAAAGGGTTTGAAACCACTGCATGAAGCGTATGTGTCTGACTGAGAACTAAAAGTGCAAGGTACAAAGTACAAAGACAGGGAATTTTGTTTCCGATAGATATGAAAAATAAAGTGTTTCATCAGCAATTTGATGGGAACTGAAAACTGGGTTAGCCATAGTCTTGCTCTGATATTTCTGCACTGGGTGAAAAATTTAATTTCTCAATTTATTTCTATAACATCTCAGTTTCTTTCACAGTAAACCTCAAAATCCCAATACATTTCCCATCCAAAACAGACTAAAACCTCGCAAACCAAGGCCTGAGCCTTCTCCATTTGCCAGTGGCAAAATCCCTATTGGCTTCATTGGGAGAAAGACTGGATCCCTTTTGCTGAGAAAATTGCCAATTTCAATATTTAGATTTGGAGGAAGAGGAATTCAATCCTTATAATTTAAGATAAAAGAAAAATAAATTTCAGTAGCAAATCCACTTTGGGAGATTTGATAGTCCAAACCAGAATTCCTTAGCCCACGCCAGATTTTCCTGTTATACCAAGGCACCCCCAATGAAGAAAGTAGAGGAGAAATTTTGGTTGGTGTTCCATCCTGAGAGGAGAGTTTAGCACTCAGTTAAAACTCTCATTGACTCTAGTAAGGACTTGAGGACTGGGCCATCTACCTGCACTTCCTGCCTTCTGTACTTTGAGTTTTGAGCATCCCCAGTTCAATCTTCCTGTCCTTGAATAGTCTGGCAGAAGGTTGTCTTAATCCAGGCTGCAATGCTAGACACTGTCCTGGCAGGAAGGGAGCCCAGTGAGGTGCAGCAGTCATTGCTTAATCTATGGTGAAAGGAGCAAATGGCTAATCCGCTCTTTTCCTGATGCAGGGAGTTTGAATTTGGAGAGGCAACTCGCAGAAAGGGCTGCAGCATTTTCAAGGTTTTGCTCTCTGTGGGGAGTGGTGATATCAAACCTGCCAAATGGGGAGTGATAGAATTAACTTGAAAAATAACCCGACTCCTAGCCAGGGAGGGGAAGTTCCCCTGACTTTAGCCCCCCATCCTGCTCCTCCCCCCGTCGCTCAGCCCCCATTACACTGAAACCAATGGGCCAGGGGCCCCGGGCTGCTTGTTGAGTAGGGCTGTGTCTTCACTGCAAATCCGCTGGGGTGGCCAGCAGGGCCTGCAGATTTGACCTGGCTATGGCGAGTGGGGGGAGGAGGCAGTAGGGGGGCAGATGTGGCCCTTCGTCTCCTGACACGCAGCCCCCTTGGGGACGGGGGAGATGCCCGGCTCCCATGCGGGGGCCCATTGGCAGTAGGTTTCCCGCGGGTGCCTGGGCTGGGAGCGGTGCTGCGGGAACGGCTGGAGCCAGGCCAGACGGAGGAGATGGGGGCGGGGGCAGCGCCTCAGCCGGGCTCGCTCTGGGGATCGGGACTGTCCTCTCCGCCCGCCCCCGGCCCCGGGCTGAGGCGCTCAGGGGAGGAGGCGGGCATGGGGCGGGTTAAAAGCAGCTGCCGGCCGGGGAGCGGGCAGGACCCTGAAGGCTTCGCGGGACTCAGGCACCGACACCCGCAGGCAGAGCAAGGACCGCGCGCAGCGGAGCTTGCGCCGGCTACTCCTGCCCCGGGCCGCCCGCCCGCCCATGGTGCCCGGCGCCCAGCGCGCAACAGGGGCTCTCATCTGCGCGCGTGGCTGAGACAGGTGAGCTCGGCGCCGCTCTCCCTGCAGGGCGGCCGGGGCGGGGGAAGCCCGCTGCGGCGCTGCCTGAGCGCCCGCTTCCAGCGCCGGGGGAGACGAGGCGCCCATCCGCGCTGCAGCCGGCCCGGGGAGCCGGGCTCCGGGGCCAGCCCCGCGCGGGGGGCCCGTCTCTCGTAGCTCTGAGGGACAGCGGCCGCCGGGGTGAGGCGGGGGGCGCTGGGTCTGTGTGTGCCGGGGCGAGCTCTGATTCCCTCGCACCCTTACTGGCCTTTCCCAGGGACCGCGGGGGGCACAGGAGCGAGCTACCCTCTGGGGGCAGGAGTTAGGGCCCGATCCTGCCCCCCCCCCTAGAAAGCAGGAAAGACTGTGGGGGCGGGGGAGGGTTGGCAATGGCAGGATCGGGTCATTGAGGCCGGAGCTAACCCGGTGATCTGTGGAAAGGCGTTGTGTTATAAAACTGGCTCGTTCAGTGGCTCCTAGAACCTGTTCTTTGATTCATAGCTACGTGGATCCTGAATCTGAATCCTCCGGGCAAGGCTCCTCGTCCCTGCCTCTCCCGGGGTGCACTTTGCATGGCCTCTGTGTTAAGTCCCATAAGTTTCCCCTCTTTAAGTCCTGTTGTGTGAAGGGGTTCTGTCTGTCAGTCCATTATGTAAAAAGAACAGGAGTACTTGTGGCACCTTAGAGACTAACAAATTTATTAGAGCATAAGCTTTCGTGGGCTACAGCATCCGAAGAAGTGGGCTGTAGCCCATGAAAGCTTATGCTCTAATAAATTTGTTAGTCTCTAAGGTGCCACAAGTACTCCTGTTCTTTTTGCGGATACAGACTAACACGGCTGCTACTCTGAAACCAGTCCATTATGTGTGTTCCTTCAGCTGCCCGGTGACCTTCTGCCATGACTGTCGCTCTGGGTTCATCTTTTACACGTGGCCCGGGTATTTCCGTCTTCTTTTCTGGATAACCTTAGAGATAAGGGGTTGTTGGACTCTCAGGAATCTCAAGCATTCTTCTTATAGTGATGGTCCCTATTGTATTCCATGAGGGTTTACGCGTGCACCCCAGCACCCAGAGTTGGAGAATTTTTTTATAAATTCATTCTATTTGTTACTTACATGATATTGAGCAGCTTTTAACTAGTTTAAAAGGCTTCAGCCTCTGTCAACAAGACTGTCTTACTTGCCCATGAATGTATACAGGGTTTTCGTTAAACTGGACAAGCTTTGTAATGCGCTCAGCAGCCAAAGGGCAGGGTAAATAGGGTGAAGTGTCTGGCTGAGTTTGTAAAAAGACTGGTTTTTAATTTACTTGCATGACAGGTTTGGTAAATTGACTGTTTGAAAGGGCGCCAGGCTGTAGTATCTATTTTTGTATGCTCCTCTTGCTCTTAACTTTCTTTCCCTCCCTGCTAACTTTAACCCAGGGAAAATGAAATACTCCAGTGCTGTGCTTGAAGGGACACATTGTCTGTAGATTAAATGTTAAATTAATTCCTGAGAGAAAGGATAGACTTATGGTTAGGGCTTGGGAATGGGAACTAGGGCACCTGCATTCTTTTCCTGGTTCTGCACAGGAAGTCTGAGGTAAAATTTGGAAAGTCACTCAATCTCATCTATAAAATGGGTAGAATAATACTTAAATCTACTTCACAGGTGCATTGTGAGGCTAAATTCACTGTTGCTTGTAAATCACCTTGATATTCTTGTACTAAAGGTTCTCCAGAAGTGCAAAAAGTGTGTGTATACAACATATGCATTCTTTACCTGTTTCACTAATAAGTGGGCTGGAGGCCCAGACTTGACTTTCTGTGGAGCATGAAAGCTTGTCACTTTCACAAACAGAAGTTCCACCAATATGTGAGATTACCCCCCCACCTTGTCTCTCTCATATCCTGGGACTGACATAGCAACAACAACACTGCAAACATTAAATATGAAAACATTTAAAATATCTTACTTTTTCATTCCTTCACTCAGCCTGGAAAATGTAAATAGATTAGTAAATTTCACTTTTGCTTCCATTCTGGTTGTTTCTGGTTCTCCTGCACCAATCCAATGTTGCTGGTTTGGGATGAAGATATTTAAGGGAAAGTTTAAATCCAAAAATCTGCTTTAATTTAACTTTTCATGAGACTTATTTTAAACATTAGTATTACTATTAGCTGTCCACTTAACAGTGGACAATGTCTCTATAAGTTCACAAGACCATGACTTCAGAGAATTAAAGCAACAAGCAATATAAAGGCAACAGCTATTAAAGGTAATTTGTGGCATGCCTTATGTGTTTGGCTTCGTTTTTTAAAGAGATTCTCATGAAAGTAAACAGGCTTGCATCAAAGGACAGGTCTTATCCACACTATTACCCCAGCTCAGAGTAGACCACTCCTATAATTTACTGAGGAAATAGGAAATGAAAGGTGTGAATCAGGATAAATGTTTCCTGATCACTGTGGCTGGCTTTGCTGACATGAGCAGGAGTCTTGCCTGAGTAAGGGCTGCAGTACCTGGCTCTAGACCATATGCAGTTGAGATAGATGGTGGCTGAAAGCTTCCCCAGGGCACTTTGGATAGAGCTGCCTTGTCCTAGTCAAGGTCTCTGGGCAATCAAGTCACAATATCTGGGTCTTTGGACTGCGAAATCTAGTTCTATCCTATTTCCTTTCCCATCAATAGAGCAGAGTGTATCCATTTTTCTCATGTAGCACAGAAATCTTGAGTGAAGAAGGATGGTTCAAGGGATTGGGTAATGGGCTAGACGCAGGGGTCGGCAACCTCTGGCACACGGCTTGCCAGGGGAAGCACCCTGGTGGGCCGGGCCAGTTTGTTTACCTGCCGCGTCCGCAGGTTCGGCTGATCGCGGCTCCCACTGGCTGTGGTTCACTGCTCCAGGCCAATGGAGGCTGCGGGAAGCAGCACAGGCTGAGGGATGTGCTGGCCATGGCTTCCCGCCGCCCCCATTGGCCTGGAGCAGCGAACCGCGGCCAGTGGGAGCCGTGATCGGGCGAACCTGCTGACGCGGCAGGTAAACAAACTGGCCCGGCCCACCAGGGTGCTTACCTTGGCGAGCCGCGTGCCAGAGGTTGCCGATCCCTGGGCTAGAGAGTCTTTCATTTTGAGGGTGCTGGTTCCAATCCACCCCTTGTTGATAGTGATCAGAGATTGTTACCCTCTGATGCAAGATATAATTCTGTTGAGTTCAGAGTTGCCGTATCCACTTATAGCCAAAGTGAATTTGTCTTGGGGAACTCAGAACTCTTGCAAGATAAGTTTTGCAAGAAAAAACATGGTTAACAGTGGCTGAATTCAGGCAAGAATTCTTCTGACTCGTGTCCTACTTTGCATAATGAGAATGTATCTCATATGGAAAAGTATTATGAATGGCACCTCTCACCAAGCAATAGTAGGTTAATTCACAGTTATGGGGAGAGTGAAACAGTGGCAGGTATTTCTAAAAACTATTCAAAGTTCACTTTAAATCTATATATTTTTAGACATATCAACAGAACCTTGCCAAATCCATCCTTTGTGGTGCTGAGTCACTATGGGAGCTGAAGACACTTCATCTTGCAGGACTGAGCCCTTATTCAGTAAATAATTAATTGACAAATGTATATTTGCTTGCTACCTGCTTTGCGGTGTTACATTTTAATCCAGCAAGTAAAGATCTAATTATCTCTGAGTCTTTTGCTTCTGGGTTAATTAGTACAGTGGCTCTCAACCTTTTCAGGTTACTGTACCCCTTTCAGGAGTCTGATTTGTCTTGTGTACCCCCAAATTACACCTCACTTAAAAGCTACTTGCTTACAAAATCAGACATAAAAATGCACACAATTACTGAAAGATTGCTCACTTTCTCATTTTTACCATATAATTCTAAAATATTGTATTTACATTTCAGTGTATAGTATATAGAGCAGTATAAACAAGTCATTGTATAACAATTTAGTTTGTACTGACTTCGCTAGTGCTTTCTATGTATCCAGTAGTAAAACTAAGCAAATATCTAGCTCAGTTGATGTACTTCCTGGAAGACCTCTGTGTAGCCCCAGGGATATACATTCCCCTGGTTGAGAACCACTGAATTAGTACACACCAAGCACCTGTTTTCCTAAGGCTAGAAGTGCTTGAGATTGAAGAAGAATAAGGAAAATATATCGTTTCAGCTAATGCTCAAGCCTGCACATATCACACACTGGCTGTGGAAGGTACTCAGGGCAGACAGTAGACTTTGTCTACCACTGATTTAAGTCAGACATATGATCCTTACCTGTCATTGTAAATTTGCTGTAAATTTACCTTTCAGTTACTAACTGCCTTCACTTGAAGACAGAACTGTTACTGTACTTGTAGAAGAGCACTTAAAAGCTGCTAGAGAGAACTGCCCTGGCTTCTAAGAGGGTGGGACTGTTGCTTTGATCTTTATCAACCACTTTGTAATTCTTTAATAAAAGTTGATCATCTTTTTGCTTTGGGTATTCCTGTTGGGCACTCTTTGATTCTTCAATACACAGCAGCAGAATTACAAATTGCTGCAAGTTTCTTTGCATTGTGAAAGGAAAGGCTTTTTAGCTGCCAAAACCCGAGTTCAGAGTTAAGTTTTCTTCCACAACAAAACTGTGAGAACAGTGTCGTCAACTGCTGAAGGAAAGACACTGAATTCTGTTATAGCTGTGTCTACAATAGGGCTTTTACCAGTAATTATTTTGGCAAAAATCGCACCCCTACCTGAGTTATGGTGGTAAAACTTGGAAGTGCACACCAGCCTTTAGTGTACCATAGAACTACTGGTTTGAATGGGGGTTGCAACTAAGATCAGGCTCATTCTGTCAATGATTTGGGATCATAAGCAGTTTAACGATTCTAAAGCTTTGCTGATGGAAAAAATTAGCATGAGAATTGCCACACCAAGACAGAGAATTGTCTCCCAACACTGGCCAATGCCAAATGCTTCTGTTGAAAATCTGATAATGCACTTAAGTGTGTGATGGCTGGTTTAACTGCAGA